CGGCACCAGCTTCCCTCCGGCACCCGGGGCTCAGGCTTCCTTTGCGCCTCTAGCTTTGTCTGGAAGGTCATACAGAAGGACAGCCTATCTAATTGGCATATTACACTTTTATTATTATACATTGACTATATTCCCTATGCCGTAATCTACATTGCTGAGACTATTCTGCAACTAGCAATTTGGACTTCTTAATCCCTTTACCGGGACCACTCTGTAAATCACTTGATTTTCTAACCATTACATTATCTAATCTTAGTAATCATTCCACAATGTATATGTATCTCAACCATTATGCTGTATACTTTAGTTATATATAAATACACTAGTTAATTATTCTACAATAAAGTTAGAAAAATATAGGACAATGGCAGTGATCTTTTTAATGGATGATGGTTATATAAGTGTTGTCTGGATGTAAATATAAGTAGATCATTATCTCAAGAATCTGTGTAAGAAACTACAAATACTTAAAATAGTCCAGAAATTGAACCAAATGATATTTAAAAGGGCCTCTGTATTGATTAAATGGTGGGTATCAGAGAGTAGAATGTCAAGTTTTTCTCTTACATTTTTTATTTTATTCTTACCCAAAAATATGTTTATCGATGTGAGAGAGCAACATCAATTGGTTGACTCCCATACAGGCCCCAACTGGGGATCAAACCCACAATCTAGCTATGTTCCCTGAAAAGGAGTTGAACCCACAACCTTTTGGTGTACAGGATGACACTACAACTGACTAAGTCACACGGCCAGGCCTCTCACATTATTATTATTATTATTTTTTTTTACAAATAAGATTATGTGAATAGTATATTGTTAAAATAGATTCAGTCTGATAAAGTAACAAATTGTAGCAACACATTTAGTTTTGGGCATCTAGAAAATTAAATACAAACCTATGCTTAAAGTATTACTTAAAGATAAGTTTAGAATGTTGCAAAGCCTATACATATACAAGCACTGTGAAGCTTTTGCTTGTTTTTTATCAGTGTTAACAAAAATCATAAGACAATTTCACTTCATAGAGCTCAAATAGAATAAACTACAATCAAATTTACTTCTTTTGTAGAAAACTTGACCCCTTTTCATATTTTATTTTACTTCACTTTAATTTATTCTATCAAACAACATGTCAGTAATATTTCCACAGAACCACTTCATTTTGGAAGAGGCAAAGAGTCTGATGGGCACATCCATTCTATTGCTAATATTTTTTCCTTAATTTCTGTCTTCAAGTAAGTTCCAGAGGGGTTAATTCAACAGAATTTGAGACAAAAAGAAAGACTTCCCAGAAAAGATACCATCCTTCTTCCCTGCTTGAGTGCTACTTAGAGAATTGCTAAATTGCTTGGCTAGAATGGAGAGTATGGTGTCATTATTTCTCAGTAATTAAAAAATAAATTCAGCAAAGTCTTTGTGCCATTTTGTTGACCTTTATAATATAAACATTGGAAAGAGGATGTGTGACTATGTTTTAATTAGTCTATTGACAATTGACATTATAGAGGAGGCCAGAAACGCTTTTAAAATGTAATAAAGCAAAGTAGAGGGCTTAATATTTTTGTTTTAAAATCTTGTAGTATGGCGATAACCTAAATAAATTTATAATTAACCAATTTACCAGGTAACCAGGTTTGCTAGGTTACTAGCAGAACCACAATTACATAATTTTATTTTAATCTGTCCACAATTAGTTCAGAATAACTATTCTAATGAAGAATTCAAAATAATATTGGTTAATCATAACTCCATCTTTTGTTATATTGACAAGATTTATTTTAACCCTGACCGGTTTGGCTCAGTGGATGAAGCATTGGCCTGCGGACTGAGGAGTCCTGGGTTCGATTCTGGTCAAGGGCATGTACCTTGGTTGCAGGCACACCCCAGTGGGGAGTGTGCAGGAGGCAGCTGGTCGATGTTTCTCTCTCATCGATGTTTCTGACTCTCTGTCCCTCTCCCTTCCTCTCTGAAATAAATCAATAAAATATATTTTTTAAAAAGATTTATTTTAAATAATAAGGGAATTCAATTTGGCCTCAGATGGAAAAAAATACTTCTTCTTAAACCTTCTTCCAATGTATCCAAATGTATTTTATCTATAAAATTATCAAATTATACTAAAGAGATTTTTGTCATTTAGTTTGGTTTTTAATGTTTTGAAGATTCTTTTCCAGTAACTGTATTTTCTCTTTATGAGAATGGTAATAAGCCAGAAATGTAAACCCATATTATAAGCTGGTTACTTCTTGGGAGTTATATATAAGCTGCTAACACAGACTCACAGGAATCTTCTTTTAAGTCCCCAGGGATCAATAAAAGCAGCAACTAAAAGTATATCATATTTACACAAGGGCAAATTTGAAAGGAATAGGAAGCATAATTGTAAAAATAATAAGTCATTGTAATAGTAACAATACAAAGACCTATGAAGAAAACAAGGATGAATTTCTTTTTAACCTAGATCTAGGAACATATTCTTGTTATATATCATAAAGGCAATGAAAGAAAAAAATAAAATAAAATAAATTGCATGGCGAAATACACTGTAAAGTAAAAAAGAAATAGGAATAATAAGCTAGGAACACAGCTGTAATACATATTGCAGACAAAGGGATAGACATGCTTTCTTCTACATTACAAATGGAAATGAAATATCTTTAAAATTACATTTACACCAGTTCAATCTTCAGTCTCACATATGAGAATCTATTCCAAACATACTCTGACAAAATATAAAATGATCATGCAAAATATTATTAATGATGGCATTGTCAGTAATAGCAAAATTTAAAAACATTCAATAAATCTACCAATAGGGAATTGACTTACGAGTACAACCACATAATAGATAATATGCAGCCAGAAAAACGAATGAGACTTGTTTCAGCAATGGGGATATATGGTTAAGTGAAAAAAGCAAGGTACAGAGCAGGGCCGATCAGGGGGTTGGGGGGCTGCCACTCTCACACTCAGGGCAGGGCCGATGGGGAGGTTATGGCTCTACCCCATCACACACAGAGCAGGGCCCGTGGGGGGGGGGAGCTCCCCCCTATCAGGCACAGAGCAGGGCTGCTCAGGGGGTTGGGGCCCCGCCCCCTGTCACACACAGAGTCGCAGGGCGATCAGGGGGTTTGGGCGCTGCCCCCTGTCACGCTGATCCCGGTGCTGGGAGGCATATTACCCTTTTACTATATAGGGTAGAAGCCTGGTGCATGGGTGGGGCTGGCTGGTTTGCCCTGAAGGGTGTCCTGGATCAGGGTGGGGGTCCCCACTGGGGTGCCTGGCCAGTCTGGGTGAGGAGCTGAGGGCTGTTTTCAGGCTGGGGGTGACTGAAGTTCCCAACCGCTCCTTTTTTTCTTTTTCTTTTTTTATTCTGGGCCAGCTTTACCTTGAGGCTTGGCTCCAGCTCTTAGGCCTCCGCGGCTCAAAGTAGGTTTCTGGCCTTTGCTTACAATGTTGCGAATCTGCTGGCTGAAGTCCTGCGGTATTTGTTACAGAGTTTCTTAAACTGCCCGCTCAGAGGCCTGCAGCCGCAGGCGGAGAACGTTGGTTTCCTCTGTCACTGAGGCAAGCAAGCCTCATGGTAGTTTCAAGCTGCCTGGCTGCCGGCTGCCATCTTGGCTGACAGTTAATTTGCATATTTCGCTGATTAGCCAATGAAAAGGCTAGCGGTCATACGCCAATTACCATGTTTCTCTTTTATTAGTGTAGATTAGCATGATCCATAAGAGAAAAAAATAATAATTGTAATTCATCAAAATGGCCCTAGATGGTGTGGCTTAGCTGGTTGGAGCATCATCCCATACATCAATAGGTGTCAGGTTCAATTCCTGGTGAGGGCACATACCCAGGTTGCATGTTTGATCTCACTTGGGGTGGGTGGAGGACATTAAAAAAATGCTTTTATTGATGTTACAGAGTGAGGGATGGAAAGGGAGAAAGAGAAACATTGATGGGCTGCTTCTTGCAACCCCCTACTGAGGATCAAACCTGCAGCTTGGGCATGCGCCCTGACTGTTGTGGAGTGCGAGTGACAGAATGACCAGAACTCCGGACTGATTAAAATTTAGAGAGCCTTTATTGACTGGTCAGTGTCCGCGCCTCCACTTGGGAAGCCCAAGAGAGAAGCGGCCCCGACCATCTGCAGAGTCCAGTATTTAAAGGGGACAACTACATCCGTGCTCAGGTTCCCATAGCAAGCAAAGCCAAGTTACAAAAGCTCATTGCGTAGTTTTAGCCAAGCTACTCATCATCCTCCTGTTATTCATTTCGGGGTAACTTAAAGATCAGGACTGTTCTTAATTTTCATCTGTCTGCTCTTTGTGGGCCGTGGCTCAGGTGTGTTGATCTGTCTGCTCTTTGTGGGCCGTGGCTCAGGTGTGTTGATCTGTCTGTTCTTTCTGGGACGTGGCTCAGGTGTGTTGATCTGTCTGCTCTTTGTGGGCCGTGGCTCAGGTGTGTTGATCTGTCTGCTCTTTGTGGGCCGTGGCTCAGGTGTGTTGATCTGTCTGTTCTTTGTGGGCCGTGGCTCAGGTGTGTTTATCTGTCTGCTCTTTGTGGGCCGTGGCTCAGGTGTGTTGATCTGTCTGCTCTTTGTGGGCCATGGCTCAGGTGTGTTTATCTGTTTGTTCTTTGTGGGCCGTGGCTCAGGTGTGTTGATCTGTTTGTTCTTTGTGGGCCGTGGCTCAGGTGTGTGAGCTCAGTTCCTAGAAACTGCACAGGCTGTAAGCTGCTGAGGTGGCTAGGTAATTAAGCAGGCCTAAAAAATTTTCCTACTCTGTAACACTGACCAGGAATTAAACCAGGAGCCTCTGAGTGCATGAGATGATGATCAACCAACTGGGCCTTACCCACCAAGGCATAGAAAGACTTTTTTTTTTTTGAAAGTCACAGACAGTTTATCTTTCTATAATTAGATTAGGAGAAAAATGAAGAACCCTCTGATAGCAGGAAGAAGCAAGAGTCTTTTAGGTTCAGTCATTTGATGAGATATTCAGTTACTGTGCATTTCCATTATTTTTCCATGGCAGAACATACGGCAGAGACTTGGGAACGTGCATGCCTGAAGCCAGGTTACTCTTATGTTCCATAACTATGTTGCTTGCAGGGCTGTTCTTGCCACGGTAGTTGGCTGTGCCCCAGACAAATGGGGTGCTGGTCTGTTCCCACAAATCTTTATCCCAGTCTTCATCACAAGGAGGGCACTGCCATGTGCTCTCAACCAGAGTCTCTTGTCCAAGGTTCCTGGTTTGGTTGACAATGTCTTGCTCTATACAACTTTTGTCATCACAGCTTGAAATATGATGACTGATTTCGGTCCGAGGAACCTGATGGCGAGCATTGAAGGGACAAGTAGCCAATTTGTTTTCGACATCAGGATGATTCTTTCTGCACTTGATAAGATGATAAGGAAACTTGCAGGCTCTGATCTGGTGGTTTTTATCATAGGGACATTGCAATAGCTTTTCAGGGTCCAGGGGATCGATGTAAGTTTCTTCCATGTTGGAAATGAAGGAGCCGAATCCAAGTGCTGAGTCAAGACGCGCTCTCCACACAGTCGCCTCCACCCCGCGCCCTAGCAATGCTCCCTTCCGGCATTCGAAAGACAATTTTTAAAGAATGGAAAGACTAGTAACATATTGGGAGAAAATATTTGCAATGTATATAGTTGACAAAGTTCTTGTATTCAAAATTTAAAGAATACTCAAAACACAATAATGAGAAAATCAGAAAGACTATATGAAATGAGTTAAAGAATTGAACAGACATTTCATCAAAGAAGACATACAGATGGCAAATAAGCATATAGAAAATGCTCAGAAGCATTTTAAAAATGCAAATTAAAACCACAATGATAAAGGCTATCATTCAAAATAGATTGTGAAATAAAGATCCTCCTGGACAAAAAAAAAAAAAAAAAAGACTAAAGGAGTACATTACCACCAAGCCAGTAATAAGAAAAAAATGCTAAAAAGGACTCCTGTTATAAGAAGAAGAAATAGAGAGACCTAGGTATACAGAGTTAAAATGGCAATAAATAAATACCTATCAATAATAAGCTTAAATGTAAATGGATTAAAGGCTCCAATCAAAAGACACATGACCCAACTATATGTTGTCTACAAGAGACCCACATCAGAATAAAAGACACACACAAGAGGAGAATGAAGAAATGGGGAAAATTTTTTTCATGCAAATATAAAAGAAAAAAATATGGAATTGCAATACTCATATCTAACCAAAATAGATTTCAAAATGAAGGCCATCACAACAGACAACAAAGTTCACTACATAATACTAAAGGGATTGATCCAACAAGAGGATATAACGCTGGTAAACATATATACATCCACTATAGTAGTACCTAAATGAAACAAACAAACAAACAACAACAAAAAACTTCTAGAGGACTTCAAGGGAGAGATTGACAACAATATAGTCATAGTAGGGGATTTTAACACCCCGCTGACTTCACTGATAGATTTTCTAGAGACAAAAACTTAGCAAGGAAATAGTGACTCTAAAGTGACTCCTGAATCAGATGGATTTAATTGACATTTATAGAACATTTCACCCCAAAGCTGCAGACTCTACATTCTTCTCAAGTTCATGTGGATCATTCACAAAGATAGACCACATGTTAGGACACAAAACAAGTCTCTACAAGTTCATGATGATTGAAATCATATCAAGCATTTTCTCAGATCATAGTGGAATGAAATTAGCAGTCAACTACAGTATCCCTAGACAGTTTAGCTCAAGTGGATAGAGTGTTGGCCAGGGGACTGAAGGGTTCCAGGTTAAATTCTGGTCAAGGGCATATGCCAGGATTGTGGGCTTGATCCCCAGTAGGGGATGTGCAAGAGGCAGCCCATCAATTATAATCTTTAATCATTTATGTTTCTATCTCTCCCTCTCACTTCTTCTCTGAAATGAACAAAAATATATTTAAAAAGGAAAGAAATCAACTACAGTAAAAACACCCAAAAAACATTCCAACACATGGAGGCTAAATAGAATGTTATTAAACAATGAAGGGTTTACCAATGAGGTCAAGAAATAAATAATAAAAAAAAAACTTCCTGGCAATCAATGAAAATGAACACACAACAACCCAAAATATCTGGGATACAGCAAAAGCAGTCCTGAGAGGAGAGTCCATAGCAATACAGGCCTACCTCAAAAAACAATAAAAATTAACAATAAACTATTTACCTCTACAACTTAAAGCACTAGAAAGAGAACAACAAGAAAAGCCCAGAGTAAATGAAAGGAAATAATAAAGATTAGAGCAGAAATAAATGACATGGAGACTTAAAAAAAAATACAAAAAAATCAATGAAACCAAGAGCTGGTTCTTGAAAGGATAAACAAGATTGATGAACCATTAGCTAGCTGCTAGACTCATCAAGAAACAAAGAGAGGACCCAAATAAACAAAATCAGAAACGAAAGTGGAAAAGTAACCACTGACACCATAGAAATACCAATGGACACAGATAACAGGGGGGTGAGAGCCTGAGGGGGGGGGGTCAGGGGGGTAATGGGGGGATAAGGACACATATGTAATACCTTAATCAATAAAGAAATTAAAAATGAAATAAAAGAAATATAAAGGATGGTAAGAAAATACTATGAACAATTCTGTGCCAACAAGCTGGGCAATGTGGATGAAATGGAAAATTCCTAGAAAAATTCAATCTCCCAAAATTGAATCAGGAAGAATCAGAAAACCTGAATAGGCCAATAACAACTGATGAAATAGAGGCAGTAATCAAAACATTCCCAGCAAACAAAAGCCCGGGTCTGGATGTTTTCACAGGGGAGTTTTACCACACAGTCAAAGGAGAACACTTATACTCTTCAAACCATTCCAAAAATTCCAAAAGGAAGGAAAAGTTCCAAGCTCTTTTTATGAGGCCAGCATTATCCTAATTCCAAACCAGATAAAGACACTATAAAGAAAGAATTACAGGACAATATCCCTGATGAATATAGATGCTAAATTCTTCAATAAAATACTAGCAATTTGGATCCAGAAATATATTAAAAAGATCATAACCATGACCAAGTGGGATTTATTCTGGGGATGCAAGGCTACTAAAATATTTGTAAATCAGTAAATGTGATACATCACATAAATAAATTAAAAGATTAAAATCACACAATCATATCAATAGACACAGAAAAACTTTTGAAAAAATTCAACACCCAAATTTTGATAAAAACTCTGAGCAAAGTGAGAATAGAGGGAGCATACCTTAACATGATAAAGGCCACATATGACAAACGTACAGCGGACATCATACTCAATAGGGAAAAACTAAAACCATTCCCCATAAGAACAGGAACAAGACAGGGATGTCCACTTTCACCACTCTTAATCAACATAGTACTGTAAGTCCTAGCCACTGTGATCAGACAAAAGGAATAAATAAAAGGCATCCAAATTGGACAGGAGGAAGTAAGTCTCATTATTCACAGATGACATGATATTGGAATTAGAAAACCCTGAAGACACCACCAAAAAAAATACCAGATTTAATAAATGAATTTGGCAATGTAGCAGGATACAATATCAACACCCCAAAATTGATGACATTTTTATACACTAATAATGAGTTCTCAGAAAGAGAAATTAAACAAACAATCCCATTTTTTTTATTGCAACACAAAAATTAAGATACTTAGGAATGAATTTAACCAAGGAGGTAAAAGTCCTATACTCTGAAAACTAAAGGATGTTGAAAAAAGAGATATAAGCAAATATAAACAAGGGGGTAGAATCAGCATTATTAAAATGTCCATACTACCCAAGGAAATCTACAGATTTGATGCAATCTCTATTAAATACCAACAGCATATTTCAAAGACCTAGAACAAATCCTCCAAAAATTTATATGGAATCAAAAAAGACTCCAAATAGTTGCATCAATCTTGAGAAAGAAAAACAAAGCTGGAGGGATCACAATAGCAAATATCTATCTATACTACAAAGCCACTGTAATCAAAACAGCCTGGTCCTAGCACAAGAACAGGCATATAAATCAATGGAACAGAACAGAGACCCCAGAAATTGACTCAAGCCATTACACTCAATTAATATTTGACAAAGGAGGCAAGAGCATACAATGGAGTCAAGACAATCTCTTCAATAAGTGGTGTTGGGAAAATTGGACAGATACATGCAAAAAAAAAAAAATGGAACTAGACCACCAACTTACACCACACACAAGAATAAACTCAAAAGACTTAAATGTAAGTCATGAACCCATAAAAATCCTAGAAGAAACCATAGGCAGCAGAATCTCAGACATCACTCATAGCTATGTTTATGGATCTATCTCCTAGGGCCATGGTTGGCAAACCGTGGCTTGCGAGCCACATGCGGCTCTTTGGCCCCTTGAGTGTGGCTCTTCCACAAAATACCATGTGCAGGCATGCACATACAGTGCGATTGAAACTTCGTGGCCCATGAGCAGAAGTCGGTATTTTGTGGAAGAGCCACACTGAAGGGGCCAAACACCCGCATGTGGCTCGCGAGCCGCGGTTTGCCAAGCCGCAGCTTGCCGACCACTGTCCTAGGGCAAAAGAAATAAACAAATGGGACTACATCAAAATAAAAAGCTTCTGCACAGCAATAGAAAACATTAACAAAACGAAAAGGGAGCCCACTCTATGGAAGAACATATTTGGCAATAATATATCTGATAAAGGGTTAATATACAAAATATATAATGAACCCATACTATTTAGCAAAAGGAAGACAAGTAATCCAATTTTAAAATAGGCAAAGGACCCAAATAGACATGTCTCCCAAAGTGGACATACAGATGGCCAAGAGATATATGAAAAAATGCTCAAAGTCACTGATCATCAGAGAGATGCAAATTAAAATGACAATGAGGTATCCCCTCACACCTGTCAGAATGGCTACCATCAACAAATGACAAGTGCTGGCAAAAACGTGGAGAAAAGGGAACCCTAGTACACAGCTGGTGGAAATGCAGATTGGTGAAACAATTATAGAAAATAGTATGGAGTTTCCTAAAAGAAATACATTTGCAACTACCATTTTACCCAGTGATCCCACTTCTAGGAATGTATCCTAAAAAACACCAATCAGAAAGAATGTATGCTCCCCTATATTCATAGCAGCACAATTTACAATTGCTAAGATCTGGAAACAGCTCAAGTGCCCAACAGTAGATGAGTTGATAAAAATCTGTGGTACATTTATACTAATGAATACTATGCGGCAGTAAAAAAGAATAATATCTTACTGTTGAGACAGCCTGGAAGGACCTGGAGAATATTATGCTAAGTGAAATAAGTCAGTCAGAAAAAGACAAGTATCACATGATCTCACTCATATGTGGAATCTAATTAACAAAATAAACTGATGAATGGAGTGGATGCAGAGATATGGAAGCATGGAATAGAGTGCAAAATCTTGGAGGGAAGGTGGGGAAGGGTGGGTGGTTGGGAGGTAATCAACCAAAGACTTTGTATACATATATGCATAACCTATGGACAAAGACAATAGAGTGGGGAAGG